AATGAGAACCGCTTCCAACACAGGGGCTCGGTACCACGCGAACTTGCGTTGGTGCAGTAAACGGATCGACGCAACCCCTCTTCCGCCGAAAGAAAGACAAGCAATTCATTACATGCTTGACTAGCGCAGTGGATAAACTTCGCGACTGCAACACAAAGTACAACAATCCGAATAAGGCGAATAGGAGACGCTAGAATCGACAGCATCACATCGGTTTTGACAGAGATGGGAAATCGCTTGTCTTTCCGCGCACGAAGGTGTGCCTACACGCCTCTTCTCATTCTGACAATATGAAAAGGAGACACTGGAGCCACAGAGATGCGTCTGTCTTCTGCCGTGACGTGCCGCCGCCTACCGCTCCCCGTTGGAGCCATAGAGATGCGTCTGTCTTCTGCCGTGACGTGCCGCCGCCTATCGCTCCCCGTTGGCGCCACAGATACCCCTGTCTTCTGCCGTGACGGGACGCCGCCCACCGGGGTGAGCGGCGACAACGACGGGAGGACGTCACCGCCGCCCCCGACCGCCGGTTGCCGACCTGGCCGCCGGCTGCCGACCTGAACGCGGCGCGGGCGCGAGAGGAGAGCGTCTGATCGGCGGCAGAAGTGTGTCAGCGGCGTGACGCCGCGCGCCGCCGCCCCAGTCAGTGACCCGCTGACACGGGCCGTCGGCCATGTGAGCAGGCGACGCCGGGCGGCCGCGGCCGGCCGGCGCCGCTGCACGAGCGGCCCGCTCAACCGCGACCTGTCGTGCCGGCCGCCAGACGCGGCCCCCAGGACAGCCGTGGCGCCTCACCACGTGCCGGGTCAACGGTGCCCTTGGTGTGGCTGCTGCTCGCAAGACGGTGTGCGCGTAGGTTGGGAGACAGAACTGATGCTGAACTTCTGAAAGGAGCTGATACAGCTTCAATTTTTTTCCCGTTGATACGGCCTCAATTTATGATGCTCATTCATGGCACGACTCTCGCAAAAATACCGAAGCAGGAGCGTAGATTTTCGACTTCGCACCGATAATACGCTGTTTTCTTGATGTTTTTTTCACGGCATACATTCGGGCTTACATCGCAGAGTGCAGCGCAGCTGGTCAAACTCAGCCGATGACAGTGGGAAAGTGACTGCTATGCCAGACGCGGCACATGCCTTCAGTGGCTGTCAATTGGTTCTTTATGTGCCCAGCAAAGCGGGCTCAATGAAATGTCTGATGTAGCATACCTACGTGGGTACCTAGGCCTGATAGATACAAGTATGATAGTATGATACAAAGTATGCCCAGGGGAACTCCTCGCTGGTATAGCATGCCTATGTTGGCCTGAACACATGTGCAATGCAGCGTGCAATGCAGCGCACACACCGGGGTCCCGTTCTGAGCCGCGTATGGCGGCCGACCCAGACTCATCTCTTGCAGCCCACGGACTGGACCAATTGGCCAAACTGGCAACTGGCCGGCTGGTCAAGCAGAGGCGTCGTCAGGCCATGCGGTGCTGCATGCAATCTGGTCGCTTTTTATCGTCACGTTTTCAAAATGTAAGGCCTTTATGGCGAGCCATGCGCATAGTATTTTGCGGAAAAAAACATTGACCCAAACAAGATCCGATGCAACGGAAATGTTAGGCATTCCATGAAATAACGAAATATCGAACCAAAACGACCCCTTGGAAAGTCCGCTTCCCTATGGATCTTGGCAATCCGTAGACAACTTTACGGATACAGCTTGCAAGGCCCAGTTCACCCTAGTCCGCACATGTTTCACACACTTTACTCAGCAGTACGCATTGTTTACAGACGTCCGATCTAAAGCATAATATAGTGCAGGCACTGCAAGAATGATAATCCACGACATGTAGACTTTTTTTATCCATTTCAGTACATTTGACCCGCCTAATTACAATACAATCATTTCTGGATGCGTGACTATCGGAGCTTTTGCGATCCTGCCAAGCTTCATCCATGGATGAATCCTAAATTCACGAGTTTATGATACCCTTGATGAAATCTAGTAGCGGCACGTAACAATTTCATTGATTCAGCCCTCCCTGTCTATTCATCTATTTGTGTGTCACCCCTTATCTCAAAAGCAATAGCCCACAGCATATTGTAGTCTTTGACACAGTTACATTGAAGGATCAGGAGTGTTCTCAGACCATTGCCATCGCTGCAAATGGGTGTCAGAGCGCCTCCTTTCATCCCTTCGTGCTGCCGGCTCTTCACACTGCATTTCAGCGGATTGCAGATTTCAGCAGGATTTTTTTTAGTAGTGCGTCGCGTGCTGGTTGACAGACCATAATTCATGCTAAAGATCTGCTTGCGCACAAACGGATGCCAGCTAGCAACCAAGTGCAATGCGACGTGCAATATATCATATATTAGATGCTGCATTGCCCAAGGATATCGACAGGAAAGGATTGAGTTGCATGAATCACGTACGGGTTAATACAATCAGTTCCAGCTTCGGAGATTATTTCCGTCCAGTTAACCGAAAAGGTACAAAATCCAGAAAATGTACCATAGTTAAGGTTATTGATTGGTTCTCTTTTAGTATCTGGCGGTTGTGCCATGAACGACATCAGTGGCTACAGTCTGCTGAAGGCTGTCATAGATCAAAGTTGCATCTGGCAAATCCCGAAAATTGCCGTCCACATAGACCGCATGTACCAACAGACAACCAGAATACTTTTGGGATAATTGATTTGTATCCATAGCTGACATGTGACCCGTCATGGCCAACGTCACATCTGTCAAATTATGAAAATAAAACGAGGCAATGCCACTATATGCTTCACAAGGTTCACGACAATATCGCTTTCGTGGATCGAACGTCTCCGACGTTCGAACTTCGGGCTCATCCAAGTTTGAACGAATGTAGAAGTTGATAACGCAACGCTGCATGGTTTGCGCTTGGTTTTCCACGCATCCAGCTGCTACGGTCCTCAGTGTCACAATCACCAACGCCGAATGGAGTGAGGAACACCAAAAAGCATTACTGACAAGTTCTTACGCTATTTTGTATTTTATCAATATTGACGAGTTCATTACGCTATTGAGTTTTGGAGCGCACACTCCATATGTTAAAAGTCAAGCATGCGATACTGAAAGGATGACCACTCAGAAAATGTCTTAGAAACGCCGTGCATGCCCACGCTTAGCCCCGCAGTTATGACTGGCTTACACTGAAAAATGGAAAAATATAAATATTGAAAAATATAAAAACCCGATAGGATAACGAGGCAGACTGATATCACCGAATATGTGCTATTTAAAAATCAGCATATTTTAACGAGTTCCGGTAAATTTGTTACAAAGTCAAGGACAAGGTCAGTTTTTCTCGTTCTAGGATATCACTAGCAACATAAGACATCAGCCTAGGGCTGATAATCTCTTAGCCCTCGGCCAGCTGAAGCCGAAAGTCTTCGTAACAATGTCCTACAGCGTAACACCTCTAATCAGTTTTTATACAGATAGCTTTCCATCACATAGGCATGTTACAGAAGATGCTGAAGAAACACGGTACATGCGTTATTCCTCTCACGTCAATTTGTACTCTAGCTCCCCGTCTATATCATAATTGTTGGGTTCCCTTGTTTTATGAGCTTAATTGCATTAGTTTGCTGAAGCACATGCACACTGGTACTCGGGTATTGGGCTTATAAAACGATTTCATATTCTATGTTTGCGAGAAAACGAAGACAGTTCTAATTCCCGAGGCAGTTTTCAGCCCCATCGCTGTTGCGCTCTAAACACGTAAAGGTACATACTAAAACAATGTCATAAGGGAGAGAATCGCTACCACATATTCGTCTTCCACAGGGCCAATATTCAACAGCCTTCCAACAAAATACACTTTCGTTAACAAGATGAAACGTTGTGGCGTACATTGTTACATTAGATTCCCTCATGCAACGAGATTCTTATTCATGCCGCAACGTTCCGCGAAGGCTAGGCACGGCTTTCGACTCTGTGGAAGTCGTGTGCACGGCACTGGTACCTCCATTGCGACAACGCTTTAGCTCGTAGCGCGACGGTTAAAACAATGCGTACAAATCTACCATTTCAGGTTTACGGAATGTGCTACTGTTAACAGGCTGCATGTTACGGTAAACACACTGAAGAAGTTCTTTCGTGCGCTCAATTCCCATCCTGTTAAGAGTTTGTAGCATTATTGTATTATGAAGAGCAAGTGTTACTAAAGAGAAGTTCTGAATGAATCAGAACACCCCACAGCGTTCTGTTTACCTTACATGATTTTTGGGTGCAGAAAATTCACTTGCATTATTAGCTTTAAATTAATGAGTCAATCCAATTATTTGGGTCCCTTTAAAATGCCCCAAATTACCTCCCCTACTTCAAAAAGTGCCACTGCGGCAAAGCACGGAGCGCTCACCACACTCCTCACCTGTTAACACGACAGCTTGGGTCGAGCTCAGCTGGGCTGGTGGTCTTCACGGCACCCGTTGGCACCGCGCCCGGTGGCCGCAGAGCCGCGCCGTCCGGTGAGAACTGCTGGTCGCGGCCGCCGTCCGCGCGCCGGCGCCCGCGGCCGAGAAATTCGCGGGCCACTTGGCACCGGCCGCGTTCCGCGCGATGGGGCTGGAGCCGGCAGGGCACCGGTCCCTGACCTCACCATAGGGCCAGGCTATGGACTCAGCACCAGATCCGACCCTGGCTTCATAGCGGGAGCTGTCCCTGAAATCATCGCCAGTCCAGCCCGTGACCACGAGACCAGCTCCTGGCTTCCCACGGATCAGTGCTAATAGGCTTATCGCCAGATTAGTGTCTGATCTCACCAACGGATTGGGTCCCGGGCTCACCGCAAAATCCGTCGCCGACTTCACCACAAAACATGCCCCTGGCCTCCCTCAAGACAAGGCCGTCTTTTATTTCACCGCGACACACTAGTCCTGATTTTACCACTGCGATCATCTTGGCTCCATCTGTTTTCCCCGCTGGCTCAGTGGTAGAACGCTAGATCATGTGTATGAACGCTAGATCAGTGGTAGACGCGTAATCAGAAGGCTTCAGTTCGAATCCCAGCAACTTCAAGAGAAACATTCAAGGTGTGCCGCGTGAGTGGTTGAAAACCGAGCAACATCAAGCCGTTCTCAAGGTTTCGCGACACCTGGTGACGCCAGGAGAATTACATGGCCGAAGCGTTGTTTGGGTACTTGCACGGGAGACGAGAACAGTAGTCCACCGATTTTCCATTCCGTAAGGGTAATGCTGCATTACCCTGGCCATCAGAGGAAAACCCTCATGGCCGGGTAGGGCATTCAGCCATTGGGAATTGTCTCAGGCCCGGTTCGAATTAAATCGTGGGAGCGGATCGTGATATGAATGACACCGCAACCTCCGACGTGAAGATGTACATCTGTCCGCGCTTCATAGGTCGGTTTATGTTTTACATCACGAACTATTTAACCCTTTAACCCTTTTGTAACCACATTTCTTTGTTTAGCGGTGTACTTACCCAACCACTGTTGCGCATCTACAGCGTATTTACATAGATTCGCTGCAGATCGTTCTTGTTATCTAACATCTGCTATGCAAAAGCCATATTTTCTTATGCATGTACTATCTTATATTTCTCGTCAAAGCGCAACACAGTCGGACACGCATTTTTAACTGATCGCTTCCAGTCACGTATGCTGATGCATTGTACGTAGTTATTTCTCTGTGAAGCGCTGTGACACGGTAACGGACAATTTCATCAACACAGGCATGCTAGATAGAACGGAAATATAATAAAAACTAGAAATAACCACGTAAGGTTAGCTTAGGTTAAGTTAGGTTAGGTTAGGTTAGGTTAGGTTATGTTAGGTTAAGTTAGGTGAGGTTAGGTTGGGTTAGGTTAGGTTAGGTTAGG